TCAGTATACATTACTAAATTTCTTTCACTCTTAACTACAAGGCTATTGCTTCCTACAATGAAGATGCTAACCGAGATATGAGCAAATAAAAAAATATCTGTAGGTAGGATAATATGAAGATACGGAAAAAAAATAAAAGACTATTATAGTTAATAATTATTGTCATTTACTCATTTTTAGTAAAGTTATATGATGTTAACGCCTACTATACAATAACAAATTGCAATACTTATAAAAAGTTGCTATCAAAGAAATTAAGGCGCATGCTATTATTTTCGACGATTATATTTCATCGAAACCAAAATTAAATATCTGGACTATATCTATTAGACAAATATTCACCAAAATAGACTCACTCAGAATTTACTACATTCTATCCGCAAAAATTGTCCTGTTTAAAGTCGGCTAACCTTCACAAACAACTAAAACTAGACATAGATTGTCGAGTTGAATGAATATAGAACGTAATACAGACAAGTTCTCTTTACTTAATTTTTCTTTTATCTTGACTGTAATTCTAAGATAAGAATCTCATTAGCCCAAGTTGCTGAACCTTACTATGATTTCTTAGATATTCTCATCTAGAAAGTTTATAAGCCGCAGGCCATCTTTCACTACAACTTTTGCCTTTATAAGTGTTTTTTCTATAAATATACTTTTATCTCAATAAGAAGGATTACAAAACTAATTTTATAAAAATAGCTCGTTTTATACGCTGGGGGCACCAGTCGAGGATGGAATTAGGTTCATCATAGCGTATTTAATTCACCAGAACTTAACTATGAAGACTTCTCTGGAGTTTGCTGAAAACAATTGACTAGGTACACTAACAACTAGTTAGGTACTAGTCGTAATAATCACTCCGCTATTCATACCCCCACCTCATATGGATAAACAGCTATTATTATTCTCTAATGGGAATATAAATTATATAGAAATAAAAATTGGGAATACCTACAAAAATATTTTATAATATATATAATAGTTATAGGAGCTAACACGGTCTAGCGGTAAGAGGATAAGCATTGAAAATACATTTGGTATCTGCACGTATGAAGGAGTAAACATTATAATTTGAATTTCTAACTATTCATCTTTATAGGGCATCAAAAATAATGGCCTATTTTTTATCCTGAGATAGACTTTTTCCTGCAAATTAATTCATCATATCTGTCAGCCGCACACTGGACTTAAAGACAGACGTTACTGAACAATCGATGAAATAAAAAGATCCAAATTGGGTCAGACATTTACTGTGGTACCTACACTTATCTACTGGGATATACAGAGTGGGATGTTAGTTTTTTGATTACTCGGTATATTATTAAATATTATCGGTTTTTCCATCACGAGGCGGATAATTAATGAATCAGAAATATAAAATAACATGCAGAATCTTTTGGTGTAAGATAGATTCGAATTCACGACGGATTAGTCGAAGTCCTAACAGTAAGTTATACAAGCACATGCATCATAGGAACTATCAGAGAATATTTAATACTCAAAACAATTACTTATTTATTTAGTGTTTGGAATTATGTTATGAAAAGTTCAACATGTAATATATTATTCAAATTACGCGATTGAATATAATTAAACCGTGTCCTTTACACATTTAGTAGCCATGACTTGACGAAACATTGTTATTTTCATAATTATAGCATAACTATATCCTTTACACGTTATCATACATAGCGATCTTAAAGTAAATTAGGAAATAAAATTATTCATAATTATCTCATCAGCTGTATAATCGAAGCTCCTTTGCCTTTCACTTAAGTATTTACCGGCAAATGTGTTGAGCTTGCGTCAATTTTCTGAAAATGTCAATGTCAGTTTTGTGTGTCAAAAGTGTCATAATATTGATATTCATATTCTAGTTCAAGATTTGTTTGTAAATATTAATATTATTATAGTAAAAAATATCATAATGTTTGTTTAGAAGTCCGTATTAATTAGAATAAGTGTCTGTGATTTATTCTACAGGGTAATATGGTGAACAGGCAACATTATTCATATAATTACGCACCGTTACTTTCGGAAAACGCGTGAGTATTCTTTTTGTACTGAAATAATTTCTATATATTCAGTTGATTTCAGATGCTTTCAAATAATGATAAAAGTACTGGGACAGTACTTTCATCATTATTTCATCAAGTTATTAGAACTAGATTTGAAAGTTGCTCGATGCATAAGTGTGTTCCTTGCAGAATTTTTACCCATTATTTGTGTATCCTTAAATAGACACTTTAAAAAAACATTATCTACAACTTAATAATAATTCATGCCATTTAATCTTGAACTAAACATATAAAATTATAGATAGTGGATACTAGAATAGAAGTTACAAAGTATGTTACAACTAGAGTCTCTCATATTTTGTAATTCCTGAGGATTAAGAGGTGCCATATTTAGTACAAACGTAATCCACTGCTTGCTTGACTGATTGTCTACTAATCATAGAAGAATATGAGAAAGATATGTTCGCACAGAAGCCTTTGTTATAAGTTTTCTGCTCAGATGTAATTTTTTATAATATAAATATCATAATTAACAAAGTATAATGTAAACATAGGCTAAGACTATATAATGATAAGTCAATATGAATGTTAGGACTATTTTTAATACTTTTATTTTGAGCAGGCACTCAAAGAGAAATTATAGACTTATGCTGGTAGCTAAAGATACATTATGAGTTACAAATACATAGAAATAATAATAAAGTTATATTATACCTTCTACTATTTGAACCATGCAACTTCACTGGTATCATCTACTTTTGAAACATGTATCAATGATGTTGAAATATAATTGGTTGTAGTGTGAAAACAATATATATTGATATTGTATTCCTCAATCCTTGATCAATCGGCTATCCAACTTAAAATATTTCATGTTTTATTCAAACTAATAGTTTCTGGGATTACTTAGAACATTCAATGAAACAAATGAACTCCTCAGCTTTATAATTTTATATAGATGATAGAAGCTATTACAACTCCATTGTAATACTAGGTCCTTATAATACTCAGTCCTAATAACTTTTCTAAAATATGTTTGAATGTTTCATAAAACGACTGTTGCTTGCCTGATTTGGTTGTCCATAGATATAGCACCGTTAAAGTCTAGAGTCAAATAGGACCTCTTTAAATAATAGGTCTATACAATACTTAAATATACTTTCTGTTATATGGTAATCATATTATCGGAATTAATTGGAGCAGAGTATGGTATTTTAATATGTGTATTATATAAAATCAAACTAAAATATTTTTTCTATAGTCTCTTTTATTGGCTGATACTCAAATGGCAACTGTATATGCTGGTAGGGTACCAGTAAAGGATAATAAGATGAGCATGAAGTCTTCTTCATGCTCATCTTATTATCGGCTCTTATTATGTCGGCTCCATTAGCCCATTGTGATAAATTCACAGGAATTAATAATTTAACAATGATGTTTCAACCAGATAGAAATTTCTAGCATTGGGCCAACAATTAATAACAGTCAGATCAGTTATGCCATCATAGCAGTGGTAGGTCAGTACTATTTCACGAACATATCAGAATATTATAATAGGACTATTTATGGTTTGTATAGCCAATGGAAATGCTTTTATTTTATTAGTAGTAATAAAACAGCTTAACTATAAACATATCTTTCAGTTAATAAAAAAAAATCGTTCCGTACAGTTTCATTAGTTATTTAAGAAAAATCGTCACGAAATAATTGACGCCTCCCACCCTCTTGCCACACAGTGTCATACTTCATCGACCCACTCACAATCCCTTAATATGTGACCTTATTTGTAAATGACTCCATATTAGCAGTATCACTGGTCATCACATGTATTCTATGATGACAGTGATACAATAAAATTCTATAAGTGACTATTATCGTCATCCGTAAGGTCAATCTTCAGTAATTCCTTTAGTAGAAGAAATTCTTTATTCGCGTGCGTCACTACAATAGATTAATTAACGACCCTCCACTTGAACCCTCTCACAAATAACGGTTCGGCAAATGTCATTGTTAGCATAACCAACTTATAAATATGCCACCTACGATACTGTGATAAGGCTGCATTTCCATTATCCCATATTATTTTGCTAGCAGCTTGGACGTTCGAATAAAACTATACAATTAGTATTACGATTTAGTGTAATATATATATTTTTAATTAAGATATTTATGTTCTTACTTAAAGGCAATATTTCTGTAATGATACTGGTACTTATTGAACATTAATCATTGTCGAATCTAAGCATAATTTCAACAATTCACTATATGCCGTCCAATAGAAAAAGAATCATCGGTCGCCGATTTTGGCTCACGTGAAAAAAGCTATGAAGTAACACACAATAAAATACAGTCGAATTAAGAACCTCATGATCTGATCTTCTGAAGTTCCAGTTGTAGAATCTATTTTTTTTATCTAAACTACGAAGTCCTCTTGTGCATAAACATATCCATTTGATAATAAAGTTATAATTATTATTTCTTATAGAATATCACTTATTAATATTTCTGCCTCTGACAGAACTATAAAAAGTGACTCATTGACCTGTACCACAAAAAGACCCGTCAACTATAGGAACTTAATTTCACTCTTATGAGTCTTATGATTTATTTTCCCTAAACTTCTTTCTTTAAACCATACATACATACATACGAACAAATAAAAAAAAATCTGATAAAATGTAATATATAAATCAAATTGCCTCGTATATCATATTTTGACTGATTTTCCTAGCTCAAAATCTCGTACAAACATGTATGAAAATTAAATGTTCTCGTACCCAAAAACAAAAATCTCGTATTTGTACGACGATCCTCTCACGGTTAGCATGCCCTATTCAGCCCTGCCTTTGTTTGTAAATCGTGTCGTATCGTCGTTAAATGGAAACCAATGCATGTTATTACCAGTGGGGGGGTAAGTACGACCGCGGGGCGAGGTTAGGCAATCTATATCGAGTCAGTATACAGAGTGAGAGGCGCGGGCGTCGAACGCCGACTTGCCGTCCTCCAACACTAACCGTCTCAACTTTGAACTCATGCACCGTAACTTCGACCGTATCTTGTGAATGTTAAAGTTCAATTTAAACTGTGTTGTGTGGTATTGGCGAAATCGTAGCACAGTGACCTCTTGGTGTAGGTGCAGTGTAGTGCAAAAATGAGTGAAGACAACGCCGTCTCCGATGATATGAAGAGACAGGCTGCCATGTTCTATAATTCCACTGAAAGGTTTGTTTACCATAGTGCAAATTGTTTATGAATGTCAACGAATGTGGAAACAAGTCTGAAATGTCTGTACAATACGGCCAATAAAATGATACTTGTTTCCATGTCATAAAGTTTAATTTCAGGTAACTAGATTTTATCTTTTCTGCGCATGTAGGTAGACACGAGAATCGTATTCATATATCATAATCATAATTATTTATAATCACGAGGAACGTGTTTTCACAAACTGTTTGCTACCTGCTTATGATGAACATCCGGTCAATTCAGCACTCGTGGAAACTATAGATGTTCCAATGACGCAAAGTAGCATAGAAACGCAATCTCCTTTGTATACTCATCCCAATAGGATTTTAAATTTCTTTATTTTAATTTACGCAGTGCATTTTTTTATTTATAAATATGAAATGGAATAAAAATGGGTCAGTAGCGGATGAAGGATTACTTTGCTCATCCTTCATCCTTCAGATGAGTTGAACCATTGTGTTCAGTGGTTGAACCGCGTGGAGAATGACTTGATGTGAGATTATTAGCAGTATGGCCACTATGTCTGATTACTAATAAACCGCCTATTTGATATGTTAATGTCATAACAGTATATTGACGCAATGAAGCAAACAAACTCACTTTCATATTGTGTTATATTATTAAAATATATATATATATTTAAAAAAATTAAGGATTGGCTATTTCGCGCAGCATTGTTTGCGCAGTACCATTTATATCCAGTTCAGATGAGAATTTTCAAAAATTCTTTGCTTACATTATACAATAAGTGTATGAACGTATAAATTCATTCTTCTAGAATTACTGGTGGTAGTTTTGTCTGTGTGTTCATAAATAACAAGTATAAACTATTTTATTAATATTGATTATTCAGTGTATTTCAATTAACTGTCTCTTTACGAGGATTAACTTAGAAACACTGATTTTAATAATAAAGCGCCTACTAAAGCCGTTAAATTATTCAAATTTTGTAGAGCCTAGTACATACTTATGTAAATTATCTAATGCCATACAATAGGTATAGAAGACTGGTTGGGACAACGGTAACGGTCGTTGGCAACTACGTAATAATACGTAAATTCATAATCAACATACCCATCGTTGAATTTGACCTAATGTCCCAGTCTTCAGATGTCTCGGAGCTGATTATGTAAGGCTATTGCGATATTTCATATTTTAAATATATTTAAACTGAAAGTATTACAATTATGTATGAACTATTTGACAGTTATATACAAAAACCACGATATCGGCCGCGATTGGAATTGTTATATGCACAATTTATTATCCACAAACCTAATTATAAATTTCATTGTTACAACAAATAAGGCAACGATTTCTAAAAAACCATTGGTTCTGGATATAAGTCACTGTTATAAAAATGTTAATAATTATAGTCTTATTTTTACTACATCATAGGATAACTTATAATCAATTTATTTATTTTATTTATTCATTTATGTATTTCGAATATAAATCCATAGTAAATTACACTATATATCCTTATTGTAATTCATAAATTATATATCTATATCTACGTCCACGTCCCAAAGCACTGGGTCCGCAGCAGTGCAATGATGTCATGTGCTTCTGGAGCCGACAATCCGACATATTTGTTATAATGTGTAGGATTCAATACCAAAATTTATAGTTTAGAGTCATTAGAATCAAATTTTAGTCTTTACTAACATATAACAATAGATACGTAATACGATTAAGTACCAGAATTACCCTCGCTACACAAGACGCTACTAACCCTATTAGACCTTTCATAATATATTAGGTTACGCAAGTATACAATATGATACATCTAATGTTACAACTGTTGTGGTTATTTACTATCACGAATGGGGACTGTTAGTAATGTAGACTCATGATTTTATTGCGAGCAATGTACTATATCAAGTTGACCTCCACGCTGTTCTCTCTGGAAACCATCGTGATAAATTCTTGCTGAATTTGTCACGATGGGCTAACTGAACTGACCTCATGCTCGTCTTATCATCCTCCACTGATGCCCTGCCAGCGTAAACCGTTAGCGCAGGCGTGTGCAAAATTCCATTATCATCCATAAAAAAAATCACGAATGCATAAGCTACACATGTTATAAAAAAAAACTAACAGTCCTCTATTAAAGCCTTTGTAGATACAGGATTGAGTACTTATTATTGTCAGGATGGGAATAATGCCGGATATGAGGCCATGACGGGTCTTTTGATTTCGCATGCTTCAATAAATACACAGATATGTATAAGTACTCACATTATTCACGGTTATTTGGACACCTCGCCCACGTGAATTTAGTAAAGCTCTTTCTGCTATTTATAATATCTTTTCGTCGTTTAATAATAAATGACCCTCTTAGCAATATACAATAACTACCACACGTTCCCGCTCGAAATCAACGTGGTTAATTCCTAGTGAATTTTACGTGACAGCTTATTCAACCATCTGCTTCAATATCCTCCGCGGAAACGAAGTAATGTAGTCGACAATAGTGAAATCATATCTGACCGATACCAAAAACTCTGTGTAAATTAGCCAAGTTACTTCGATAGATTGCTTAAGACTCACCTGCTCACCAGCACATTATCAACAAAATATTTCCAAGTCAAGTGTTTATTCTTCCTTATTTTGAATGGTTAAGGCAACGATAACTACTCCATTTGGGATAACAACAATTAAGATATATATGTGTATATAATGTTTTTCTCACGTGATATAGAGATATCTATATATTTATCTATAGTAAATAAAGTTTTGTTAGTAAAATATTAACTCTGTCCTTTACATTTTGTTGAACTGACAAGAACCTATTTACATAGCTCCATGTTTGTCAGTTTGTCCATCCGTTCTTTCGAAGACTAATCTAAGGCATTCTTATTTATTTCGTCAATAAGTGCGAGGGGAAAAAACATATGATCTCATTTAATGAATATCTTTTTCGACTATGATTCCTTATGACACGATAATAATTGGTCATTTGGTTTCGGTTTTATTAGATTTCGACGTCGGTCGATGTGACCCCAACCTTATGCGATATCTTTTATTTATTATGGAACAGTTACACCTGTAATGTTCTTCGTCATTCTGTTTTTAAATTAGGGTCAAATATATGGTAATTTAAGGATTTTCCCTAAAAAAACGGTCAACAAAAAATTACCCCAAAAATAGGAATAATTATTTATGAGAATATGTTCTACTTAAACTGACTACTTAATTTATTAATGAAATGATGGATGGAATTGATGGCACAGATTTATTGTTGTCATTTGATTATCATCAATATATGGCGACCTCCAAATTCAACATCACTACAATACTGGTATTATAATAAAGAGGAAAGATTTACATTTTCTTGTATATTTGTTTGGAATGGATTTACTAGAAAATGTTTAGATCGAATTTATTAATTCATTTTCTATAGAAAGCTACGTTAACCGCGCGTATGTAAGCTATAATCTCACGCGTGTAATGCCGAGGAATAGAGTTAGTTATTAGTATAGTTTGTCGGCGAGATATAAAACGTATACTTCTAGGGTATTAAAAAGTCTTTAGTCAAGCATAAACCCTTTATTGCGATGCCGGTAGGTGACAGGGTGACCTACAGACGTAATATACCATAACGATCTAGCAAAGGTACTTAATTGGCCACCGTTTCTTGTGTATATATACAGTTTGACGGCCTTAGCACAGGCTTTTGGGGTCATTCAGAGTACTCTACTATGATTTCCTTTTATTATAAACTTCTAGTTCTATATTTGATCGAATTTCCTATAAAATATAGTTTGGCGGTGACTGATTCCTACTTAGATAGTTCAATTGAAATGATTATGAGAGCGTAGATAAAATTTTTGATTTTTATTTGAGAAATTTTGACTTTTTAGTAAACTGTTTCATATATCGTCGACGTTCCTTTAAACCAGAATAAACTTTGTACAATGTCAGCTGCATAAACATCTCAGTAGTAGTCTCACCTATTGCAGCACTGAAAAGCTTACTTTGTAAGATGTGTTTTTGTTCTTTTAATGGTGAGGCATAAGGTATTAAAATTACAAGATAGAGGCATCTTAGATCTCCGGAATGGCAACGAAATGGCACGAGCATCATATGTGACGTGATGTCCGCTCTTCTTGTTTATAAGCAACGGTTACTACTTATCGTTACGTGAAGTGTCAGCTTGTTTGCTATTCCATTTACATCTAATAAATTGGTAACGGATTCCTATCTAGATGTCAAACTAAATATAAAGTTTCTAATGGGCGAACAAAAACAAATGTTCCGACGGACGTTAACATTGTCTTTTTTCATTTGTTTGAGTCTCATTATAACTAGTTAGTTTCATATTTTGTTGACTATACTATTAAATATGAAATCTTATTAAAATTAAAAACTATAAAGTTTGTGAGTATGGGGGGATGTTTGTTACTCTTTCGCGCAATAACTACTGAACAGATCATTATGAAACATAACTGTAATATAGCTGATACACCACACATAGGCTGTAATTGTATAAATTGGGCGAAATATAATGATAAATGTCTAATAAGTGTGATGCAGACGAAAATGCGCGGATTGGCGAGTTTACTATATTTATTGAAACCACATATAAGTGCGCAAAACCACAAATGAACTGACAAGATAAACATTATAACAACCATTGTTTAGGATTCTATTACGTTGACAGTCCCCCAATAAAGTATTTCTTGTATATTTTTCATGTACTTCTGTGTGTACTGTTAAGTAATATTTTTATTATATGTATAGATATATATTTTGTATATATATTTACGTCAATTCATTGTGGCTCTGCGTAATACGAGTTATTGCATAAGTACCTGCATAGAATTATAAATGCAGTTTACCTGACCGATCTGTTATATACATATCAGCAATTAATAAACAAGTGCAAATATTATTGTGATAATTAATGCAGCACCACGATCACGAGTTATAAAATGTATAAAGTATAGTATATATTCTACTAAAGTATAAGT